GTAGTTAGTAGTAGTAGTTAGGAAGTAGTAGTAATAGTAGTAGTAGTAGTAGTAGTAGTAGTAGTAGTAGGAGTAGCAGTGGTAGCAGTAGTAGCAGTAGTAGCAGTAGTAGTAGTAGCAGTAGTAGTAGTAGTAGTAGTAGTAGTAGTAGTAGGGGTGCTCGTGGACGTCGTAGTAGAAGTAATAGCGGCAGTAGTCGTACTAGTGGAAGTAGTATCAGTGGTGGTCGTAGTTGTAGAAGTAGTAGTGGTAGTGATGGTAGCCATAGTTGTAATGACCGTAGCAGTAGCAGTCGTCGTGGAAGTAGAAGTAGTGGTAGTAGTAGTAGTAGTAGTAGCAGCAGTAGTAGTAGTAGTAGCAGTAGCAGTAGTAGTAGTAGTAGTAGTAGTAGTATTAGTAGTAGTAGTAGTAGTAGTAGTAGTAGTGGTAGTAGTATTAGTTGTAGTAGTAGTAGTAGTAGTCGTAGTATAGTAGTAGTAGTAGTAGTAGTAGTAGTAGTAGTAGTAGTAGTAGTAGTAGTAGTAGTAGTAGTAGTTGTTGTTGTTGTTGTTGTTGTTGTTGTTGAACTCTCACTACTGAAGAATAATTATTGTTGACCCCCCACCCGCTGACCATTGTGTTTTTTAATTGAAGTGTTCCTTTTTCATTAGGGAAAGTCACTCGGCTCAAACTGGGTTGTTGGCCCTCGGATTACAACAACAGCGGCTCCCGCCTGAGACGTCCTTACAATTTAGCCAGGACCCCCGCTCCCACCTGAGACTTCCTCGCTTTTTACTCAGGAATCGCGCTCTCGCTTGGGACTCCCTTGCAATTCATTCAGGAATCGCTTTCTCGGCGTTGTGGAGTCGCGCTCTCGCTGGAGACTTGCTCGCAGTTTACTCAAGAGTCGCGCTCTTGCGTTGGAATCTCTTTCAATCTACTCAAGCGCCGCGCTCCCGACACTCAGGCACCCAGGAGTGGCGCTCACGCTTAGGACTCCCTCGCAGCATCGTGGCCCCGTTGCTGCCCTTTGTGGCCCCGTCGCTGCCCTCCGTTAACCCCTTGCAGCCCTTCGTGGCCCCCTCGCTGCCTTTCGTGGCCCCGTTGCTGCCCTTTGTGGCCCCGTCGCTGCCCTCCGTGAACCCCTTGCAGCCCTTCGTGGCCCCCTTGCTGCCGGTCGTGGCCCCGTTGCAGCCCTTCGTGGCCCCGTTGCAGCCCCTCGTGGCCCCGTTGCAGCCCTCCGTGGCTCCCTTGCTGCCCTTCGTGGCCCCGTTGCAGCCCTTCGTGGCCCCGTTGCAGCCCTTCGTGGCCCCGTTGCAGCTCTTCGTGGCCCCCTCGCTGCCCTTCCTGGCCCCGTGGCAGCCCTTCGTGGCCCCCTCCTGCCCTGCGTGGCCCCGTTGCCGCCCTTCGTGGCTCCCTCGCTGCCCTTCGTGGCCCCGTTGCAGCCCTTCGTGGCTCCCTCGCTGCCTTTCGTGGCCCCGTTGCAGCCCTTCGTGGCTCCCTCGCTGCCCGCTCCCTCGCTGCGTTTCGTGGCCCCATATATGTATGCCCCTCGTGGCTCCCGCTCGTTTGCGCCCGTCGTGCCCCCATATGCATGCGCTTCGTGGCCCCGTTGCAGCCCTTCGTGGCCCCGTCGCTGCCCTTCGTGGCCCCGTTGCTGCCCTCAGTGGCCCCGTTCTTGCCCTCTGCGGCCCAATCTACGTATGCCCTTCGTGGCCCCCGCTCGTTCGCGCCCGTCGTGGCCCCATACGCATGCCCTTCGTGGCCCCGCTGATGCCCTTCGTGGCCCCCTTCCTGCCCTTCGTGGCCCCGCTGTCGCTCTTGCTCTCGCTCTCGCTCTCGCTCTCGCTCTCGCTCTCGCTCTCGCTCGTCGTCGTCGTCGTCGTCGCCGTCGTAGTCGTCGTCGTCGTCGTCGTCGTCGTCGTCGTCGTCGTCGTCGTCGTCGTCGTCGTCGTCGCGATCGGTCCCCTGTCCGTCCCTCTTAGGGTCGGGTTGCCACCGATCAGCGCTGCCGCTGGCCAGGCCGACGGTCCGCGGCCGCCCCGCCGCTTGCCGGGACCCGGCCTGCAGGGAAGAAACATATACCGGTTTCGAGGGTTTGGGAATACACGTTGGATGATCGGGCAGGTAAGAGCGAGCAGTATTAAAACTATTGTTGTTGTTGTTGCTGTTGTTGGCTTCTTGGACGTTCTTCAGGCGTCCCGTTGAGCCGTCTTGGCGCTCTATGGGACAGTCCTGTGCCGTCTCGGGGCCATCTCGGGCTGTCTTGGGGTCGTCTTGGACCCTCTTGGAACGCCCTTTGGCCTTCCTTGGGCCATCCTTGGGCCGCCTGGGACCGTCTTAAGGGAGCGCCCGAGACTGGGCCAGGTTGGTCGGGACCCACTGTGTGCCACATCTGTTGCTTATGGATCGGGATAGATGGTATTGGTGCAACTACTTGGCCCCCGCAATTGTGGATAAGAGTGATCGGTCGCCTGGACTACCTTGCCGAAGGCTGCGGGGCTCGGGTGCCAATGTAAAGAACCTCGCCGCTGACTAAGGTTTTTGCAAAACGAATGTGGGTGGGTCACTGGGCGGGGCGTCGGCGGGTCGCGAGCCGCATGCGTTTTTTGTTGTTGTTCGTTTTCTTTCCCCTCTCTCTCTCAACTAGCCCGTCGCAGGCGGCGTTTTTTGCCGCAGGTGTAAGCTCTTACTCGCGCAACTGGCCCGCCGCAGGCGGCGTTTTTTCAGCTCAGTGTGGATGGGGTCGCGGGCGTGGGTCGCGGGCATGGGTCGCGGGCGTGGGTCGCGGGTGTGGGTCGCGGGTGGGTCTCAGGAGTGCCGCCAGATGGTCGGGGGTGGGTCCCGGGTTGGGTCGCGGGGTGGGTCGCGGGGCGGAGCGCTGGGACGACAACAACAGCGACAATCATTTTACACTTGCGCGATCTCTTCACGTTCGATCTTCCTTGCCTGCCACGCGGAGTTGGCGCACACACTAAGAGAAAAAGAGAAAGGGGGCATGAAAGAGGGAAATCATGAGGCAGGGATTAAGAGCAACGGGGAACGAGAGAGGCGGCAATAGGGAGGGAGGAGGGTGAGGAGAAGGAGGAGGAGGAGAAGGAGGAGGAGTAGGAGAAGGAGGAGGAGGAAAAGGAGGAGAAGGATGAGGAGGAGGATGGTAAAAGGAGGACGAGGAGGAGGAAGAGGAGGAGACGTGGAGGGGGAATAGGGGCACGCAACGAAACCCGCCAGTTGAAGGGTCAGATCTCTGATGGGATGTTTTCGTATGCCTGTGCCGTTCCGGTGGGATTTCTGGTTCCGCCGTCCTGCAGGGTTCCCTTCTGAGCTCGGCCGCCAAGTGGGCAGCCAACTGTGCTCAATGTCCATCCCGTTGGTCGGATTTAGAGACGTTCGGCCTGGCGGCCGATATGGCTCAGACGCCGAATGGGTCCAGAAGGGTGCCTTGTGACCATCGTCATCCAGATTTTTCCTGCTTCCGACCCTGCGATCCTGTGTCGGTTGTTCCCTCGCGTCCGTCCAGGTTCTCCGCCGCTTCCAAAAGGGAGGAGGGGGAGGAGGGGGGGAAAAGATGAGGTTGAGGAGGTTAGCTCCCCTTTCACATTCCCCTCGTCGTTGTGTTCCCCCTCGTCGTTGTCGTCGGCTTCCTCCTTCTCTCCTTTCCCTCCTCCTCACTCCTCCCCCTCGTCTTTTCCCTTTTTATCCGCCCCGCCCCCTCCCCCTCGTTGTAGAGAGAGAGGGAGAGAGAGGGAAAGAGAGAGAGAGAGAGAGAGAGAGAGAGAGCGATAGAGCGAGGGAACGACAGAGCGAGAGGCGGCCGCGATGCTGAGCCACAAGGAGGCACACTCCGCCCGCCTGGGGGGACGGAGCCTCGAGCTTGTGACATGGGCCGGCTTGGCAGATAGATTCACAAGAGCCCTAGCATCAACCGCGAGCTGCTAGGGTTAAGTCGGGCGTGTCCCTCTTCTACAGGGGGAATATTCAAATAGGCAAAAAATAGCCTGGGGACGGTTCTTTGGCTGTTTTTGAATATTTTGGGATATTTTTCGACTATTTATTTTTCGTCCAAAATCCCCCTGTAGGGGGACACGCCCGACTTAATGGTAGGGCGTGGCTTCGTCGACTGAGTCGCTCGGGATCTGCTGGGGCAGCCCAGATCGGAGGAGGAGACTTCAGAACAGGAGCTCGGGTCAGGTCAGACGTATCTGGAGGCCTGGCGGCGTAGGACGCGTACGGGGAGGCGCAGGGGAAGCCCGGGAGCCCTGACTGCATGTGGTGTGCAATGCCTGCTGACGTGAAGTGGCGTGTAGAGGAATGCGCCTAGAGGAACCCTGGCGAATCCATTGTAGATCAGGCGCCAGGGGCGCTGAAGGAAAGATCACACGGAAACTCAGGGAGCACGCGCTACTCATGGGAGTATCAAGGGAAATTGAAGGGATGCGAACGGGAATGGAAGAGAAGGAGGGGGATATTGAGGAGCAGGAGGAGGAGGAGGAGGAGGAAGAGGAGGAGGAGGAGGAGAAAGAGGATAAGGAGAAGGAGGATTTGATGGAGCGGGGAACGGTGAGGAGGTTGATGGAAATGATGGGGATGGGGAGAAGGAATCTACGGTGACTCAGGGGATATGGGATTTCATGATAGCGGTGTTCAAGCCAAATAGAAGCCGAAGGTGTGCCACAGGACACGTATACGGACCATCATGTGAGGTGAGTCTCCATTGTTACCGTGCATTCAGAGCTGCATTTATTGTCATGGCGCCGCCTCTCTCTCTCTCTCTCTACATGTGCCTATGCGGCAACTCATTTCAAGGGGCTTTTTAGACATAAAGCCAACACAAGCTGACGTCTTTTCGCCAAGCCGTTTCAGCTTGCACATGGCTGCGTGATCCTGGTCCGACAGCCTTCGGGCTCGCGCACTGAGGCTGATTAGTAGGTCGATCCTGCCAGATCAAGGGTGCCCTTGTGTCCTGTGTTTCGCGACCCATGCCTCCTACATTCCTATGGCAATGTGGTCCTTGGAAGTGTCTTGTGTTCTCTCGCGTGTCCTCTCCAATCAACCCGGACTGTATTCCCATAGATCGCCATGTCTGCCTCGTCGAGTTGTGTTATGTTGAACACGATATTGCCCTCCTGGCCCACCACAGTGCGTACCCTCCTTCCGCTCCTCCTTTGTCGCTCCTCGCCCTCCCCATGCGCCTTCTCTCCTTCTCTTCCTCCTCCTCCTCCGTAGCCATTCTGGCTCACATCGGCAAGCTTGTTTTGTTTTGTTCTGCTCGACTCGCTCCGAGCAGTGGATGGTTGCTACGCGCTGGTTTCTCTCTTAGATGGCAGATCTTTTTGTCAGATATCCAAATGCTCTGGTCAACACTGTTCTGGACTCAACATCGCCGCACATAGGTCGCGGAAGGTCCGTTCGACTCCTACTCACAGTCGAGTCCGTCGTTTGGCCACGACTTTCCAGGTGCTCCGGCACATTACTGACCCCCGGTCCATGGAGTTTTTGACAAGTTGGAAACTGAGTTTTCACGTGGATTCCCTGGAGCACCTGGTCGACTGGTCGACTGGCGCCATGTGCTCCGCGGTATATGGTGCAGCGCTCCCCTCGCCCACGCCCTTCGGATCATATGTTGAATCGCGATGCTGTGGTCTTGTGAAGGCCTTATGACCAGCGCCGCCGACTCAGAAGGACGACGACGACGACGATGACGACGACGACGACGACAACGACAACGACGAGCTTATGGCCCTGCCACAGGCTCGGGACAAAGGGCGGGTCGTGGGAGGAGGAGGAGGAGGAGGAGGAGGAGGAGGAGGGCTCGGGCCGGGGCCGGTCCAGGCCTGGGCCTGGGTCGGGGCCGCGGCCGGGGCCAGGGCCTAGGTCGGGTGGCCAGGCAGGAGCTGGGGCCGGGACGAGGACCGGGGCTGGGGCTGGGGCTGGGGCCAGGGCTGGGGCCGGGGCTGGGGCTTGCTTGTGCTGGGGCCGGGGGCGGAGCTGGGGCCGAGGCCGGAGGAGGAGTTCTGAGTTCCCATGCCGGCAGGGAGACCGCCCCCCCCCCACAGATTCCCTTCCCCCACACGGGGGATCGTCCAGGAGGTGTCGCGACCCCCCAGGCGCCCCCCCCCCTGGGATCCCCTACCCCGGGACCACCCCCTCCGCGACCACTCCCCGGGATTCTCACTTGGTTGGGACCCTGCCCCGGCGGGTAAGGGACAAAGGGAAGCTGCCCTTCGACGTAATTGCGACAGTGTTCGATCCCCCTTGTTTGTTTGACCTCCCTGACGACGATGATTCAGAGGAGGCTGGCGTACTTCAGCTTGGGTTGGGCTGGCCTCTCGTCGAAAGGTCTCTCACATACGCCGACTGGGCGGTGGATTTGTTCCGCTTGGGTTGGGCTGACTCCCGTGAGGCGTATCACGCGCAGTTGATGGGATACCAACGACTGGTCGAGACTCAGAACAGCACGATCGCTTGTTCGCAAGGTGTTTTGGGCAACCACGGAGAAGATGCGACACTAATTTCCTCGTCTCTCCTTTCGTCCTCAGTTGGGTCTGACGAGAATAGCGATGCTGCTTCTGATCGTGTCAAGGACGAGCCGCGTGAGGAGGCGAAGGAGGCTACATCTATGTCTAACAAAGGTAGTAAATACATGGACTCCCAGATCCGTGATGTTTTGCCACCGAGCTCGGGAATACATCGACGATGCGTCGAAACAATATTTCAGTACTTCGTATGGTGAGGTTCGGCAGGTTTCTGAGCAAGCCATTGTTGCACAACCCTCTTTGATTGCTGAGGAGGTTGGCCCTCCACTTGAACGCATTGCCGTCTCGATTGGTGACAAGATGGCGATGCTTTGGGCGAGGGAAGCCTTCCTGGCTCTTCGTGGCGTGTCGCGGAGAGTGGCGAGCATATTGATGTGGACATGCACGAGCCTGGTGGCGGCTCTTCGGTCATTCTCTCGATGCCGCGGTTGCAGACCTGGTTCGCAGGGCGTAGCACTTGGATGCCATGTTTTGCGCTCCTCAAGCTGATAGGGCAAGACGCACCATCACTCAGGAGATCGGGACCGAGGCCTGCTTCGTCGAGCCCTGTTCCGTCCGGTGCTGTGTGCCGTTGCGGCGTTCGGTGTCGATGGGTTGATTTGTCTCCTGCATGCTGATGGTCGCACGGTGGAGAAAGCGACGGCGTCGAGTATTCCTCAGCCTTCCTTTGGCGAGGCAGCGAGTGGACCACATAGAGTTGTGCTACGGGCCTCTCCAGTGGGTCATTTTAGTGTCAGTGTATCGCTGAGGACGAGGAAGAAGAGTACGTACTTGCTCGCCAGATGGCAATCGTTATATTGCTTCCTCTTGAGCCTGGCATTGACACATGCACAACCCAGCAGGAATGACAGACGATTAATTCAACATAGAAGGCGTTTTTGTTTTGCGCTACCAGGTCCTTCGTTTGCTTCCTTTTCGTGTACTCGCTCATCTTGCTCCTCTGCTTCTTGCTCTACTTTCTCTACCTCGCCCTGTTCTTCGTTTTCTTTGAAGGGAATGTGTATGGGGCTTCCGCCTTCGCGCACCCTTCGTAATCGAGGCGCATCTCCGGACATGCGGACATGCTCCTCCTCCTGCTCTTCCTCCTCCTCCTTTGGTTATTACTTCTCCTCCTCCTCCTCCTCGTCCTCCTCCCCATCCCCCCTCCTCCTCCTCCTCCGCCTCCTCCTCCTCCTTTTCCTCCTCCGCCTCCTCCTCCTCCTCCTCCTCCTCCTCCTCCTCCTCCTCCCCCTCCCCCCTCCCCCTTCTCCTTCATTGCCTTATAACTGATTTTCCGCTGTCGCACCCGAAAGGTAGTTTTTCGGGCGGGCTGGGCGGTCGCCTGAGACTTCCTTACGACTTATGACACTGAAGCTTAAGAATTGACAACCGTTTCGCAGATGGATGGCTGGTAGTTGTCAACATGTGGCTCTCGTCTTTTGCCGCGCACGCCCGTTATACAAATTTGCAAGAGTTTCACGGAGTGAGGGCGGGTGGTCTTCAAAATGTGGCTCTCGCCCTAGCGCCGTGAACATTCGGTTTAAACATTTACCACAGTTTCACGGATTGAGGGCGGTTCCTTTTCAACATGTGGCTCTCGCCTTAGCGCCGCGCGCATTCGTTTTTTTCTGTAGAAACACTTTGCAACAGCTTCACGGATCGAGGGCGGTTCTTTTTCAAACTGTGGGTTTCTTTTTGGCCTTGCGCACATTCGTTAATTGACTTTGCACGGGTTTGCGGATTTCCATGCTCAGCGTATCAGACATGGTGTTGTGGAAAGATTCAGTGTTATGAGGGTGCAACAGTGAGACACTTTCGCAAACTCGGTAAGGCGGGCCAGATGATCGAGGGTGGGCATCTTGCTCTGCTCGGCGCTGAGTGGAATTTCGGTATATTGAGTGCCTGGAGATGTCGGGCACGCCGCGCAAGGCCAGTTTGCTCGCTTTGCGGCCCCCTATGGAGACCAGCGCCACGCCGCGGGCCAACGCCGCGATCGATTCTTGTTTGGCAACGGCAGCCTTTAGTAAGCTCGCTCATCATGTGGACGTGGTGACGTCCCGGGCTAAGCGACCACGCCAAACTGTGCAGCTGCAGCTCAGGCCTGGGGCAGTCAAGCTGCATCTACTCGCGTGCACTTCCACCGGAGGCTTCCTACGGACCTCCCCTTTGGCCCCTCTAGTGAACCCGTCGATTGGACCCTGCCTCGGGCGATCGCTGAGAAGGCGAATCTCGTCGCTGACGCCCGTGATGTGGCCGTTGCGTGGGGCGTGCTGGACGAGGCCTGGGAAGCTTTCTCCGATGCGATGGAATTCGAGCTTGGGA